ACATCAAGAATTTTAAAAAGCTCCTTGTGAGAAGTGTGGTTTCAGTTCTAGTCCGTGCTCTCAGGATTGTATCTGGTTTTTTATCCCTTGACTATGAAACACATAAACAGTCCAGGAACCCCACCATATATACACAATACCACTAAGATAAAGACTCAGAATCTCTCTTATTTCTGGACCTCTGACTCCTGCATTTCATGCTTCACAGTGGCAGCTGGTTGAATTTACTTAGTATACCCTATGGCCTGACTGTTAGGGCATTCTCCTGGGAGGTGCAAGCTGTGCATTTGAAGCCCTTAGTCTGAGGAATGCTTAGAAATCACATCTCTGACATCCTGTGTGACTGGTCTAAGTACTAAATCATTACTGGTATAAAAAGGGTAGAAGGTAGAGCAGCATGGCATATATAAAGTGTGAACACCTCCACCACCAACAATTTTGCTAGTTGTGGCATGCCTACTAATTCATTCCTGTCCTTAAATTTACACACTGTTTCACCTGATTTCTGGATCTTCCTGAGGCTTAGGTGAGAGGTAGGTTCCCTACTCAATCCAAGGCAGTCTGGGCATGCACACAAGCAGAATTGTGGATGCCTAAGGAACTTTTTGGCTTAATGGGGAAGTACCTAGTGTGTTTTAGGAGCTTCCAAGGATAGGCATCTATCAAGAAGGGGATTTTAGATCACTAATTTGCATTTAAATATCTAAAGCCCACTTCAATCCTATTTTAGGAGCCAAGGTCCTTTTTTCTGGATTTGGTCCTGGGGTTCTTATCAGGATCATAGGATATACCATACTAGATCAAACCATTCATCCATCAGGTCCAGTATCCTGTCTGTGGAAGAGAATAAGACTTGATCCTTTACAGGGAACTCATGATAAAAATAAGATGGGGCTATATCATTCAAAGAAGTATCATAATGTACGTGTAATGGGGCTAAACTAGCATTTGGCAACTTGGGGAAATTTTACATGTGCTGCAGGAGTGGGGGGGGGGGAGGGGCAACACTTTAATTAAAGTGGCTCTGAGAGCCGCTCTACTTGAAGCGCACTGCAGCATCTAGTGCATGGGCGACTGGTGCCTCCCGAGTCTGGATGGTCCCCCAGGGGCTGATTGCCAAGCCCAAAATCACCAGCTGCGAAACCAGAAGTGCACTTCCGTCAGCACTTCTGGCTGGCATTTCCAGGGGGTGCACGGCCAATCTCAGGGGGTGCACATCCACCCATGTGCATCCCCTATGTGTCACCAATGGGCTTGTGTATCAGCATCCTTGTGCTTCAAAATGGCAGCAGGGGTGCTTGTACTATAGCTCGTTTGATGAGCTTTAGTTCAAGTGCCTCTACTGCCATTTTGAAGCATGGGGACACTGATACACGAGACATAGGAAGCTAGTGGAGCAAGGTAATTACCACACTCCAGCAGACTCAATTCATTGAGTCTACTCTGATCTGCTCAAATGAATGCACGTCAGAGCAGGCTGTCTGTGCTCATGTACAGGCAGCCTTAAATTTCTGCGCCTTAAATTTTGAAGGTTTGACTTCAAAAACACACTATTCTATTACTGACATTTTTTTCTCTATGAGATAATTTCCTTAGCATGACCGATGCATTAGATGCTTAATGTACCTTTCCAACTGTACTATAACAGACCTATTATGCTGGCTGCATCTGGGTGAGTGGCACATCAATAGATAACCTCTAATGGATATGTTGTCCCTCAGACAGAAAGGAGCCTTCTTTTAGACTGGAATATCTGCTGAGAGGAAGTTGTGGGCTCTGTTTTCTCACCAGGGGAAAAGGTGAAGGTGCTTTTGAGTGGGCAACAAGAAGGGAGTCGCTTCTCTCTCTTCCAGTAATAATGCCTTCTCTCTCTTCCAGCTTATGCCTGTGTGTTATTCCATGGACTCTGCCTGCTTACTGGAACCCACAACACAGGAAATTGCAAGGTTGTATGAACTGAAAAGAGAATTCTTCTTTATCCCTGTTTTGACTATTTTATTACATAAAAATGGAAATTTTATTATCTTACCTTGCAAGGTAACAATTACAAGTTAATAAGATTGCAAGGCTATTATTAGTTAATATTTCTGCTAGGATATTATCCCAAGAGGCCCTGATTTATACTGCAACCATCCCATACTCATCCTGCCCTAGCAAGGAGACAGATATGGTCCCTGCTTGAAGATACTATTATACTGTATATGAAAAAGTTGGCAACCTAAGAAAGTTATTCCTCATCTTAAAATGATCCAGACCTTTTAAAGCAGTGGTTCTCAACGCACCTGTTGTAAAAATGCTAGCTCTTAATTGTTACTTTTGTTTTGACTACAGACAAATAATAGAGCAATTTTTTCTGTAGTAAAGAACTCAGAAAGACTACAGAAGCCCAGAATGGTTGGAAAACTATGAATTCCTATTAAAAAATCTTGTGAATCATGTTTATCTTGTTTGCAAACCTAACAGTACTAAAATTGGGTGTCATGCCGCAGCACCTTTGAAAATATCTCAAGGCAACACAGGGTGCCATGGCATCCTGGTTGAGAATTACTGTTTTAAAGCAATCCAGGTACTGCATTTTATTACACAGAAATAATATATGTATCTCTTGTGTGATGAACTCCAAGAACAGCAGAGTTGTGTTTTATTTTTATTAGTTTATAAGTGTAAATTATATTGGTTTTAAATGTATATGTTATTGTTTTCATTGGCTACATATTTGTTATATTATGGGAGAATATATAAGGGAGAACCAGATGATCTTTCGTTAATAACTGACCTGTTCTCTAGTTATAACTTTCTTGTCTCAGCTACAAATAATATTGTTAAATAATTCCAAAACACAAAATACATTAATTCCATCTGATAAAAGAAACATCTGGCATTTTTACATATTTGTAGTAACATGCTACAGATTTCTTTAAAATGGTAATTAGAAAGAAATAGTACAGTAATTTTCCTGATGCTAATTAGAGACTTCATAAAAAATGACAAAAGTGAGAAAGAGAAAAAGATTTTTTTGTGGTTAAAAGTGTGAGCCAACAGTATAATGTACACCTAAGTGGGAAACCTATACTGGCTTTGAGAGGTACTCTGAATCAGACAATCACAGGATAAGGAAGTGACATATGCTTATGCAGGTGAACAGACAAATATTTCCACTGTATAATAATACCAGCTGCAAAATTATGAAGATGGAAAGCAGTAAACATTGATAGGCAATGTATGAAAAAATATTGGAGGGAAAAAATAATTCAGAATTAGAAGTCAGATGATCTATTTTGCATGACTTACTTAGTCTACTCTCTTAAATAAAATGCACAGAAGCAATAAATCATCATTGTTCACCTGGGTAGACATAACGCTACAGATGCATTGTTAACCCTGAATCTCTTTCAGCTTTGTGAATTGCCCCTTTTTCATTACAGTAGGACATGGACTCTGATTATTCATGTATGAAATTATTATTTTTGAAATCACAGAAATGCGTTGTAGTATCAATACACTGATTAACCAAACTAATTACTGTATAAAGAAAATGGCTTAAAATTGCTCATGCTTTAATTACAGAACATATGGTTAGAGATGAAAACATATGAAATAAAGTTGCTTGAAAAAACTGCCATTTCAACTAGTTATAATTTGCTTAGAGCTGTTTAGAATTTTTTGACTAAACACTTTTCATTGCAAATGATCATTGAATCAAAAACATTTCAATCCAGCTTTCTCTGAGTGAGGGGCTGTTGCTCCATGATGAAATTTTTGGTCATCATCAGAAAGAGCCTTACTCCAGACAAAAAAAAAATATCCAATGGTCACAACCTTACCTGAGATGTGAGAAACTCAGGTTTGATTGCTGAGCCTTCCAGGAGAATGCCCTGATTATCAAGCTTTTTACTCTTACAGATTGAATCTTTTGTGGTTTAAAACTCTTGGTTTCTTCCTAATACAGAATGGGAATATTTCTGAAATCTTGAAAAGTTTTGGTAAAAAAACAATTTTCTGCCCACCTAAATATTTGCTTTTGTATCACACATGGGTACCAAGGAGAAAAATAATCTTTCTCCCCAGATCCATATCACAACAAGTATAAGAACCTTGAAATACTTAATTTCAGTTAGGGACCCCTGGATATCTAGATCTCTAGATATCATCACCAAAATCCACTTTTATTTTTAAAAAACCTTGAGAGAAAAGGAAAAGAAACAATGCACAGATAAATACATGAACAGCAAAACTATCTCTAAGTCCCTCTCAGCATTTTTTTTATTCATCTGTGAGTTCTAAGGTGAGAAAGTCTTAACAAGCCGCTTTAAATCTGTAATGGAAAGAACAATGGTATTATATTTCTGATCCTTCAAGGTACCTTTGTGTGTGTCCTCTTTCACTATGCTCAGTAGTCAGATGTCTACAAAATACAATATAATACAGTATTCTTTCAAAGAGTTCTTTTTATTAACAGGGTTATGCACAATTAACCTGGAGAAATTGGGAAAGATGAAGCAAAAAAGGTTGTGCAGGCACCTTTAGGGTGAATTCACACAAGCATGCACGTGCCCTTTGAGATGCCCTTTAAGATGCTGCAAGAGGCCCATGTGAGAATGAAAAAATGTTCCCCATGCTGCAAATTTGCAGCACAGGGGCAAAATTAGACCCCTGGATATCCAGGGGTAAAAAAACACCATGGGGGAAAAAAGCAGAGCATGGCCTGGAGTCTCGGTCCTCCACAGAGATGCTCTGGCAGCCATCCAGAGTGTCTCTATGGCTAGCCCTCACCCCGGTGCTGAAGCATACTGCCTGCCCATGCAGGGCAGGCAGCATGTCAGTCACAGGGAGCTGGACCCAGGCACCTGCTGGTAAGCATGGGGTGGGGGGGCTGGGGGAGCAGGGAGGGGACCATGAGGGGAGTCCCGCCAGCCCCACTTGCTCCCCCAGCCCCATGGATCACTGGCCCACTCGGTCATGTCTCCCACTCCCGTGAGCACCCCTATCACTGCCCCACCTGGTCTCATCCCCTGCCTACCCCCCAAACCCTCTGATCGCTGCCCCACTTGGCCCTAGTAACCTGGCAATTAAAAAAAAAAGCCCCACACTCACCAGAAGTAGCAGCTCCCATTAGGGTCACTGGAACCTCATGGTAGAGCCCTCTCATGCAGCACAGGGCCTGGGTGACAGCCGGAGCAGCCCCAGCTGCCTGACAGCGTGCAGAGGCACGCAGCGCCCTGCTGGCCCTGGCTGCATCTGTGCGATGGGGCAGTGCAGGTGCCAGGCAGCTGGGGCCAGGCCCCGCTGCCCCATGCTGCACAGGGGGGCTCTGCCATGAGGCCCCAGTGATCCCCATGGCAGCTGCTACTGCCCGTGAGTGCAAGGCTTTTCTTTTTTTTTAAGTGAAGTATAGGTCATTCTGCACACATGCCTCTACTGGCTGTGCAATCCCCATCTGGGTCTGCAGGTGCGTAGCAGGTCACAGCCAGGCAACAGCCCCCACTGCCAGACTGCTGCAGTGGGTAAAGGGTGCAGGGAACTCTCAGGGCTGCTTCAGCAGTCCAGCTGGCACAAGGGGTAGTGTCCCCAGGTACCAATTGTCTGGTCCCTAGAAGCTCCTGAGAGCGAGTAGCCCTGATCTACTTGACAGAGCAGCTTTTTATACTGCTGGGGACAGCACAGGTGTTGGCTCCGGGCTCTAGCACCCCCTGGCTGCAGATCCAGGAGGAACAGGCAGGGTTATTTTGCCCCAAGTGGTACAATTTGCCCCATACCAAAGTGCATGGCTGGGCATGTGGGCTGAGGCAAAAAAACTCAGCTCAAATTTGCACCACTTCTATTTGAGCTTCTGCAAGCACAGATGCTGGCATGTGTGGATATGATCTTAAATATTATTAGGATAGTGTATTACCAAAGACTATATACATGATACTAGGAGAAGATCATTTGTTATTATGTTTTATGTGTGGAGAGCCTTTTCCAAGAAATGTGAAAATACGTTTACATCATGAATATGCCCGTTGGGGGTCATAGGACAATAAAACTAAAAGTTCAGAAAAAATTAATAGGGTTACTTAAAACACATAGATAGGTTTGGTTGTTTCCATGGATCTGTTTTTCTAAATTTAATCACAATAAATAAATAAATAAATAAATAAATAAAAGCACAGATGCTCTCTCAGACCCTTAACTGGTTCAAAAATGGCCAGTAAATCCATGTCATTTAATGAAGGCTGAGTATTTGATGCTGACTCCCAAAAGTAAATTTTAGTCTATACTGCACCTTTAAATAAAATAGATGATTCATTGGAAGGTCATTTTTGTGCACATGTACATGAACAAGAATAGCTTGACATATAAGATGTCATTTCTAAGCAGAAAGCACTATAAAATAAGAAAATCTTAAACTCATTTACACAGATGTGTATTTCAGGACACAGTAACATAAATGGAGCTACTTCACATTTACGTGAATGGAACCAAGACTTAAATCTGGTCCAAATCAGTTTTTGGAATGGAAAAACAGAAAAGTTTAGTTATGTACCTTAAAACTAAACTTATGAGATCTGCCTTAGCTAGGAGGTTCCAACAAAAAAAATCTGTTAGTTTTATTTTAAACCTTTTCTTAGCAAAAAACCAAAGAGCAAATTCAACTGCTCCACATGGTGCCACAGGAAGGCTAAAGTCTGTATACACAATCATCATGACCTCAACTGAAGGACAGTGAGCCATACACTTGCTTTAAGTCAGCAAAAAAAATCTACAGAATATATCAGCCACAAGCAGAATCTTATTGTTCAACTTCTATTGCTGCAGCAGTTTCTCAGTGAAGTTATTTTAGATACATTATCATCATCATTATTCACTGTATTGGAACTATATAATTAGTTCTGCCACATACTGGTCAATTGTATGGAAATATGTCAGCAAAAAATATATACATAATATTTTTAGAGTAAATTAG